CTATGCAAACCCCCGCCTATTGTGGGCGGGACATGCGTTGGCAGCGAGCGGTGATGGAAAGAAAAAAATCTAAATCAGGTTCCACAGTAGGCCAGAGATGGGGAAAAAGAGGACAACGGTTAGAAAGAGGTTTACAGACCAATTCATGGAGACAAACCCAAAATGGTCATGTAAGAACCTGTGAAAAGGCATTAGATAGCGCCACTGCCTTGAACAAATGTAGAAAGGTTCTGCTACCTTTACTGTTACTTCCTCGACAGCAGATTGAATATGAAGTACACAGGTATAACCAGAAGCAATAATGGATTTGTTTCCAAGATGACCACCTGAAGAAAACCTATTTCGTTACACCGATTAGGGATTAGAGATCAATTGAAGCAATCACGAAACTGACCTCAGCATCGAAAACACGGCCAACCTTACAGAGTGCGTCTGCAGAACAAATTATAAACCCAGATTGCAGCTCGTTTTCTTCAACTCCTGAATTAAAACTTATGATTTTTACATCTTTTCCGTGAGTGTTACCGCTATAGTACAATACTCCAAGTCCGTTTTCATCCTTCGCGACTTAAGCTATTGAACCGCTTTGTTCCGAATAATGGTGCTACTGTGATCGTTAATGCTCCTGCTGATTCCAAATGTGAGTGAGTCAGCTGTTACGGCGTTCTAACAGTTAGCAGTAGAGCGCGGTCTTCCGCAGTCGCGCGGCTGTCGCTCAAGTCGCGAAGTATAAATGTAACGAATAATGCAAAAGAATACAAAAACACTGCACTGAATCCTCAAGAATTCACACTTGAATCGCATGGGAGAAACCGATTGTTCATGCATACCTTTGAGCTTGAATTTAACATTGTCTCCGGAGACCACCCTGTCTGTCTCGATATCATCTGACCAGATTTGAAGGACTTGAACAGCTTGCTAAATAATCGCAATGTTGTCATTTTTGGTCACATTACTTGAAAAATTTGGGATCATAGCTCACTTTGTTTGGCATGAGTACCAAATTTTGGCCCTTCACCACCACACCTGATTCCATTTTACCAATGATGAGTGTACCCATATCCTGAAAGGATTATTAGCCTTAAAGGCATTTTAGTAGCATCATCAATATTATTCTCCCAAGAGGAACCTCCGCAACACTTGACCGTAAAAGCCCCAAATACGACACAAGAAAAAAATTGGTACGTTAAATAAACTTACGGAAAATTTATCAACAACAATGCATCGCACCGGTCCATTATAGTCTCGAGTCATAGATGGCAGGTGATTATCGACGTATTCGATGAAGCACGGACCACTGCAAAACGTTTCGAACTAAAGGAAACAGACTAGATAAACATGGTGAAGCGCGTTCAGACTTGGCGCTTTGACGCGCTGGCTTTGCAACAGCAATCCAGTGCTAGAGACGGGAAAGCAGCCATAGATGGGGATCAGTCGGCGAAGTCTGCTAGTGTTCTGTGAGGGTTTCGGAGATTAGGAATGCATGTGTTGCCCAACCATACACTCCTTATCTCTGAGACGGAGTAGGCGTGGCTTTTGAGCATGGCATAGGACGAGTACTCAGTTTGAAACAACTGCTATCTTGTTCTGTGTTATATGTAGACATGATTACGACTGCTCCGAAATGACAATATCTCACGAAAACCTGGGCCGCCGCCATTAATCAAGTACGCAGCCACGCCTACCCGATCTCAGGGATTTCGAGTATACCTTTGGGTAACCTCCTATCATACTCTCAAAACACTAGCGGCTGGCGCCGATCGATACCGTCATACGGCTGCTTCCCCTTTATTGGCGTGATAGCGCGTCACGCGCATCATCGCGAGGTCTGAACACGGCCTAACAATCACAATCATTCCAAATATTTAGGAAAATTCGTACCTGTACCAGCCTCCCTGTTCACAAGAAGGTCGATCTTTTATGAAAGCGCCAGTAAGACCTGACACAGGGATATATATCATATCAGTTTTAGGATTGAAACCACATTTCCGGAGATAAGGCGTCAATTTGCTTTGGATTTCGATAAATCTGAATATGAAATATTTAAATTTGAAAAAAGACAAACTGATTGTTCCCTGAATTTTCTAATACAACACGCTGTGAAACGGATGACTCACCGATTCTCATCCCATTTCACTGTAGGATCGTCCATTTTGTTCACAAGGATAACTAGATGGCGAACGCCGGCTGTTTTCACTAACATAGCATGTTCCCTAGTTTGACCTCCACGATCGAATCCCGTTTCGAATTCTCCTCTTCGGGCAGAAATCACCTAAAGCAGCGAATCCAGGGCAACATGTAAGTAACGATTCAATCTGAACATCAATACCGGAACAGGAGCACACACATACGTTCTCCTCAGAAAAAAATCAAGCGGACGACTCACCAAAACAGCAAGATCAGCTTGGGTAGCACCACTGATCATATTCGGGACGAAACTTTTGTGACCAGGTGCATCCAAAATTGTGAAATGCTTCTTTTCAGTTTCAAAATATGCTCGTCCACACTCAACCGTTTTTCCCTTTTCTCGTTCTTCTTCGTTGGTATCCATACACCACGACAGGTACCTGAAAACTCATAGAACTATGAATGTCATGGAAAAATTACTGAAATAGCAATTCAGAGCACTAAAGTAGTTGGGAAGAGCCACAGGACGCAGCCAATGCTGTGGCGATTCTTGACCGCCTGCGCTCTTCGAAGACTGATCTCAGAGTAAGAAAAGGATTGCTACTTTCGTGAAGGAAAGGATACAGAGTCATGGAGTAGTTGAACTTGGGAGCGTGTTAGGTTCCCTTATATAGCTATTAGGTTGTCCGGAAAGTTCTCAGCGTTTTGTGTTACTATTTTTTGTACATTCATTGCTGATTAAAAACTCATTCTCCCTTGCGTCTCAGTAGTACATCCTGAAGAGAATTTTTGCGCTATCTGATGGTATAATTGCCGTTTCACTTGATAACCCCCTTTTCCCAAGACTTTTTGAAGCATGTCAAAAGAGCAACTTCGGACGATATTTTTCTTCGACTAAAATTGGGTCAATCCGCAATCGAGACAGCTCAACAAATTAACCAGGTGTGGGGGCCCAATAGTGCTAGAGAAAGCACCGTGCGGCAATGGTTCGACAAATTTCGTTCTGGAGATTTCAGCCTTGAAGATGAACCTCGTAGCGGTCGACCTAAAGCAATACCTGACGAGGATTTGAAGGCGTTTGTGGAGGCTGACCCATCCCAAACAGTTCGAGAGATTGCAGAAAAGCTAGGCGTTGGCAATCCAGTGTTGCAGATGGTCTGAAACGCATTGGGAAGGTGAAAAAACTCGACAAGTGGGTGCCCCACAATTTGAGTGACCGGCAGAAATTGGCACGTCTCGAGGTTTCTTCTTCACTGCTTTTGCGCAACAGAAACGACCCGTTTTTGGACCGAATTGTCACCTGTGATGAAAAGTGGATCATGTATGATAACAGGAGACGTTCCGGACAGTGGTTGGATGCCGACGAACCACCGAGGCAATTTCCAAAGCCGAATCCTCACGAAAAAAAGATTATGGTCACAGTGTGGTGGTCATCGGCTGGTGTGATCCACTATAACTTTTTGTCACCAGGCCAAACCATCACAGCAGAGTCCTACTGTGAAGAAATCGACGAAATGTACCGAAAATTGCGTCAGCTGCAGCCAGCACTTG